ATAAACTCTTCTTTCTGGCATTTAAAGTTTTTCATCATTTGGTTTTAAACTATCTTTCTAGACTGATCACGCATCACTCCTCATATATTCTACATTCCTAACAACTACTTGCTTTTTCTCATATTTAACATTCTATCTCCGTCCTTGGCACCTTTGCATAGACTATCATCCATATCTGAAAGGCTTTCTCCCCTTACTTCCACCTCTCAATCTTTTGTTTCCTTCAAAGTGTAGCTCAAGCTCCACCTATGACTCGTTTTATTGGCAAAGATGATAAGAGAGGAAAATAACAAAAAGAGAGACGCCAGAGGAAAAACAAGCACACTTGTGTATTATTGGTAGAATTGTGAATTGGTCTAACCCTTCTGGTCTGCAATTTTGAACTATGCCTAAAATGTCACTAAAGTATCCATCCCTTTAACTTAGCAAAATCACTATTACACAGATATCCCCAAAGACATCAAAGGAAGAGGGAAAAGATCCTTGTATGTAAAAATTTTGTAGCAACAGTGAATTGGAAACTAAGGGGATATCAGCATTTGGGGAATGGCTAAACAAATCATGGTACATGGATGTGGAATCTAATTGAGTCATAAGAAATGATGAAATCTACAAAAGGCCTTTTACAATTCACTTCTCTCTCCCTCCCCCTCCTTCACTCAGTGGCTAGCATCCCCTCCTCCCCTTCCTCAAAAGATTCCTTTATTCTGTATATACACATCACTATGTGTTTGTGATTTTATTTTCATCTCTGTTCCCCAGAACCTAGCAGAGGACCAGACACTTACAAGTTCTTTAAAAAATTAAAATAAAAAAGGCTATGAAGTTGAGTCTTAACCAAGGCAAAGATAGATTCTGAAGATATTTATATTATTATTATTATATTCAATAAATAACAAAATTCAGTCTTTTATTTCTGGAAGTGCCTATTCCTGTTGTCTAGTTGAATTCTCCATTCACATTTTATATTCTTGAAAATATACTATAATAGATGAGATTGAAATTATTTAAAATGGTTCCAGAATCAGAACCTGAATTTAAATCCTTCCTCAGACACTTATAGATGTGTGTCCCTGGACAAATCATTTGATGTCCCTAAGCCTTATTTTCCTTCTGTGTGACATGAGGGGATGGATCTCAATGACCTCTAAAGTCCCTTCCAGCTCTAAATCAGATATGTCTAACATACAGTGCAGCCCACGGGCCTGAACCAGACTAAAATGCAATTCCCATCTGATTTTAGTGTGTTGATGTGTTAGCAAAAAATGATTATTTAAACCTGTGTGGTTTTCTAAGTCAGAATGTGGCCACAGGGTTCCCTATGTGTGGTTCCGTGGCCCTGTTTCAGCTTGAGTTTGACACTGCTTTCAGTCTGCTTTCCTATGATGTTCTCTTCTTCCCTGGCGTAGCAATGAAATGGATTCCATTCATCGAATAAAGACCAAAGTGTGGTGTGATCTCCACCCAGGACACTGTTTTACACACGACAGGAGCTCAGTAACAATTTGTGGAATTAGATTGAAATGTTTGATTCAATGGAAGCTTGCTCAAGTTTTGTTTGAAGGCCTTAGCTATAGAACCCTTCAATATGGTTCTCTTAACAATTACCCTGAAAGGCCATCCACTGTTTTGCTTAGAAGTACCAAGGCTAGTCTTTCCAAACGGGCTTAAACATGGAACTCGGCTACAAGCTGAACTCAAATCTTTGATTGGAATGTTTGAGGAGCTTCATGTGTTTATGTTGGGCTGATGAGAGGCCATTGGGAGTATTTCTGTCCCCATCAAAAATTAATTTTTTTTATTTAAATTGACTAAAGGAAGGATAAATTTAACTAACTCCTAGTTACACCCTTGTAAAGGTAGAATTGGACATTCTGTGTGGCTAGAGATAGACCCACAAGAAATTGATTTTCCAGTGCTATTTCCATTCTTTTATTTGCTACCCTCTCCCTCCATAGATGTCCAAGTGATTTTCTGACCGTCTCAGTAAACTGGATGGTTTTGTGGGCAGGTGAACTTGTCAAGTTCAAGTAACCACTACTTTGTAAATATTATTCTTGGTTTGGATGGGCTAACGTTCATCGTTGGGTTGTTTTTTTTTTTTTTTCCCTATTTTTCTGACTGTAAATCAGCATTGATTATAAATAACCCTTAATAAGCCATAATTGCATTTAAGTGGAAATGTGTTTTTCCTTTTTAGGCATACTGATTTTTCAAGCCGCCTACCAGCTAGGAGTCCACATAAAGCCTGGAACTTCCCTAAGCTTTTCCCCGTCTCTGTTTAATAGATTTGTAGTGGGAACATACAATGCAGGCTTGACCTCTCCCACTTCTGTTGATACTGCTCTTGGGTTACCCCATAGTTTTCCTTCTTGCTCTTATGTAAGCCCAGACTTAAAGGGACACTTTTTTTCAGTCATTGATAATGGGAAGGTTATTTTGTGTGTGTTTTTTTTGTTTTTAAAAAATCACATCCCTGGAGTGCCTTGCTAAATGGCAGCTGGTGTTTAAGAGAACTGGAGTTGATATCAAGAAGGCTTGAGTTCAAATCTTATAAGCTTTGTGACTTTAGACAAGTTACTTAACCTAGGTTAACTAGGCTAAACCCAGTTTACTTAAGTACAATTAGAAAAGTTGGACTCGATTACCTCTTGGTTCTACCCAACTGCCTCTTCTTGCTCTCCTTTGCTGGATCTTCATCCAGGTCATGCCAATTAATCATGGGTACGTCCTGAGCCCTGTCCTTTCCAACCTCTATCCTGTCTCATTTGGTGATCTCATCAGTTCCCATAGATTCAATTCAATTTAAAAAATTATCATCTTGACCTCTCTGCTCACCTCCAGTCTCACGTCTCCAACTGCCTATTGGGCATCTTGTACGTGATGTTCCAAGACATCTTAAATTCACTTGTGCAAAAGTGAACTCACTATATTTCCCTCAAAGCTTCACCTTCTCCTAATTTCCCTATTGTCAAAAATACTCCCGTCCTTCCCATGCCCCAGGCTCATAGCCTAGTGGTCATCTTCAACTCTGCACGTTCTCTTGCCTCTCCTCCCCTATTCTGTTGCCAAATCATCCAGTTCTACCTTTGTGAAGGTATCTAGTCTCTCTTTTCTCCTCTGACACCGCTACTAGTGTAGTGCAGGTTCTCCTGGCCTCATACCTGGGCTATGACAATAGCCTGTTGGTGGGTCTGCCTGACTCAACTCTCTCCCCACTCCAGTCCATCCTCCACTCAACTTAGAAAATGATCTTCCTAAGCACAGATCTGTTGGGGTCAAGTCCTCTTACACTCTCAGTATACTCCAATGATTCCCGGTCAACTTTGTAACTTACAGGCAAGTGCATACATACACATACACACACACACACACACACACACACACAC